TGGAGCTCCGATCTCTTTCAAAACCCTACCTAACTTTGATGTACCAGATTGTTTTTTTTTTCTTCTCGTTGCCTGTATTGTTAGTCTTTTTACTGGAATCTGTTTTAATTGCTTCTATTTGAGTACATGTGAATTGTAAGCCAACTCCGTAACAAAATTTGCTGGCGGAACCCCCATCTGGGGCCTCCCATTTTATAGAGATGAACTAGCCAACGGCTAAAAATCTCTCTAATAAAGTTAAAAAAAAAAGGCTGTCCACGAGACAGTTGCGATCAGCTGACTTTTTTGTTTACCAAGAACTTTTGACAGATCACAGTAGAATTGGCAGTTTATTCTCATATGAATTTCTGCTTTGTTTATGTTTACATTCAGCACCATTAACACCAGATCACTCACACACTCTAGATTTCTAGCTGTCAGTTCCACTGAGAAACGTCTCTTGGATCACCTTATTGTTGTTACGTTGTTGTTTACAATCTTTTATTTGTAACCAAGTTGGGTAGAACAATATTCGCGTTCGGGAAGCGTCGTATGAGAATATCACGGAACATCACGGACTCCTGGAGCTGCTCCGATTTAGCTTCCCATCGATACACTCTTCTATGATACGGATCAGACGATAAACAGAACAGGATCGTTCCTTTGTTCTCGAGTATCGCTCATTCATTTGGGTATGTTGTATAAGATCACCTTGTTATTTTACAGAATTTTTACATAAATTTAAACTAGACCGGTACGGCATGCCAGGTCCTTGAAATCGGATCAGCCGGTTTCAATTGTTCAAAACGGATTTCATCGAACATCATTCCTAATCTTGTTTGGCAACTCAATAGGTAAGCCGCCTTCGATCCCCCTTGTTCACTGCGCACATCTTCGTATTGTTCCAGTAGGGTCGCTAACAACAACCTCGCCCACAACCATTTTCATTGTATTGTTATCCGACATTGTTATGATATGCCCAGCCCACCGTAGTCACCCGATTTTCACATTGGATCTAAATTTCTTAACTTACAAACCTACTGCAATGCTACTCAATGATTAAATTCATTTCTAAAGTGATTCAACAATATCCAAGCAAAATCAAATTTTTTCAAAATTGGTTTAAAATGTTTAAGCCTAATTGAGGTGACACTTTCCAAAGCAGATGCAAAGCTGAGTCTGAAATTTTTAGAAGTTAGTTCAAACTTTCGAATAATTCATCAACATTTTTCTAACTGAGTCTAAACTTTTCTGTTATTTTATTCAATCCTTTTTTAAGTTGTCAAAGCTCTCCTGAAGTGATCCAACATATCCCGAGCTCAAACTTTGGTTTAGCATTTTCTGTAGTAAGGCCACATTAGCTGATTTAATCCCTTTCCTAAATGAATCCAAGCTTTCCTGCATTGACGAACCTGGTTAATATTCACAAAAGCACGTATTTTCATCGACATTTGGTTTTCGGTTCTGCCAAACTGCATTTCGGCTCCTTAAAATGAAAAATAGGCTTGTTTTTTTTACAGAATGGACCTTGCTGAATCCGTACGTGAAGGTTGAACCGGGTTTGTATTTGGAAAAGTATTTTTTAAGAAATGTCGGTTTCTTTTTCTGCTAAGTTGGATTTTGATACCGTTCTTTGAAAGTTTTGCTTGGATTGAATAGAATGGACCTTGCTGAATTCATACGTGATAATTATTTTTTAAGCACACACAAAGCCAGGTTTAAATTGACAAAAGTTCGCATTTTTATTAAAATTTGGTTTTTATGTTCAGCCAAGATTGATTTTGGATCCTTCCTTTGAATATTAGGCTTGAATTTTGTTGAATAGACCTTCCTGAATCCATACGTCTAGTTAGATTTTTTGAAGCACGCACAATTGGAGAAAACTGGGTTTAAATTCACAAAGTAGGTATTTTCATAACTATTGGGGTTTCCTGTTCTGCCATGTTATATTTGACTAAGGCGGAATTGTCGAAAACAGAATGTTTTTTTTTTTTCGATTAGAACTATTACGTTTGTGGTATTCCGCTTGATGGTTTACCCGAAATTTATCAAAGCCCAAAAATCAGTTGCTTAGATCCTATTCTTCTACATTATTACCAATGTTCTTCCTTGAAAGGATACAAAAACTTATGCGCGAAATGTGTTGTTAATAACCCGAGTGTTACAAGTAATAAAGTCAACATTTGTGGCTCCTGTTTTGCATTAGTGTCAAAAATCACCGCTTCAAAGAATTATAAGGCTAAAGCGAAGGCAAAGAAGTCATGTAAACGTTTGAAATATGCGGTTTAGATGTGATGTAAAGTCTTGATTGCGTAAAAATGGGTCAACTTCAAATTGGTGCATTTCTGTTAAAAATGCATTTAAAAAAACCTAAAATCTAGAGTAACATTTGAAATGGGCCTATGTCCAAAATGTAAACAAACCAGAAAATGAATTTTAAATTTTCACCGCCACTATTCAATTCATATTTAAGAAAATTGAAGTATTTTAGGCATTTATATTGTTCACAATAACAATAATAACTGTATCTCAGTATACAACATCCAAAATATGCGAAAAGCTTTCAAAAATATATGAAAATCGATAACAATATAATTTCATAAATTAATAAGCCTTTTTTTCTGAATCTTTCAATGGATAGGCCCTTTTTGTTAAGCCGTTGTGCTTGTCATCAGAAATGGTAGGCCCTTTGCTAAGCCTTTTCGCAACGTCAAATAAATTCAAAACAAATCATCGGCCCTGCCTCAAGCAGTAGGGCCTAGCTTTGGTTTGAAATTTTTCAATCATCGGCCCTTCTACGTCACTAGGCTTATCAATGAAATGAAATAAATGAATGGTTGGCCGTTTCAGCGTGCGGGCCTATTAATGAATCGAAAAATTTCGTTGATCGGCCGTTTCGAAAATCGAGTTATTTTTAATGATTTTTCGCGATTATGCGGAACTTTCTTACACGATTAGTAGCTATCAAGCGGTGCTAAAGAGTGGTATCAAAACCCGATTTATTTACGTTTTGGACATAGGCCCATTTCAAATGTTACTCGAGAAATGTTATATTTGGAAGTTGAGTGTATATACAATGGTTACTATGATGAGTTTTCACCGTTTGCTCTCCAGTTTTCAAAATCACGTCCAAGCAAGACACGCCAAGTTGCCAAAATTGCTGGATGTGGCCAAATCGACCGTGACAAACGTTTTAAAAGTGTTCGGGGAGCGTCTGGTGACTTCCAGGAAGCCTGAAAGCGGCGGAAATCGTAATCTGGACGTGGCAGCGACGACGTAGAAGGTGGCGGTGAAATATAAGCGGAATCCTAATCTCTCCATCCGGGATGTCGCTGGCAAGCTCAATATCTCCCATACTACTTGCAGCGGGCCAAGAAACGAGTCGGGTTGTCGATGTTTAAGAAGGTGAAGGTGGCGAACCGAGATTACAAACAAAACACGTCGGTAAAGCAGCGGTCCTCAAAGCTGTATACGAATCTGCTCACAAAGTTCGACCATAGAGGTAGCTCTATGACTAGTAGGTCCCGAAGAAACGTGTTCAACTTTTTGGCTCAGCTCTGGTACTCTCTTCGGTCCCAAGCTAATCAAAGCACCTCTCGAAACATAGGAAAATCCACGAACTTCTCATTTTATCTGTCAAACTTCCATAGCTAATCAAACAAACATTGTGTAGAACTAGAATTTTGGCTAGAATGGGGTACGTTAATCGATTTACTTGGGACCAATAGGCTAGTCAAGTAGTGAGACAATTTAAAATCGTTAGTTTCCACCGGTTGGTTCGACTGTGTCATCATGGACGACGAAACTTATGTGAAGTCGGATTTCAAGCTTCCGGAACAGGAGGAAAAGGGAAGGTGGCTGAAATTTCGAAAACCATCAAACTATCGAAGTTCCCGAAAAATTATCTCGTCTGGCAGACTTTATGCACGTGTGGTCTATAAAGCGGCATTTTCATTACTGCGGGAACCATCAATCAAGAGATCTATGTCCAGGAGTGCCTGGAAAAGCGGCTGCTACCATTAATAAAGCAACATAATAGACTTGTGCTGTTCTGGCCGGACTTGGCGAACTACCACTATGGGAAAAAGGCAATCGGGTGGTACGAAGCGAACAACGTGGTTGTGGTACACAAAGACCACAACCCTCCCAACAGCCCAGAATACCGCCCTATCGAATGGTATTGGGCCTTGGTCAAACGGAATCTCAAAAAAAAACTTATAAATCCATGGAAAACGAGCAGCAGTTTAAATCTAACTGGCGTTCGGCGGCGAATAAGGTCGCTGTGCAAAATTTAATGGAAGGGGTTAAGCGGAAGGAACGGCAGTTCAGATTTCGCAAACCAAAAGAATAAACGAACTTTTTTTCCTTTAAATATATGAATTGAACTACCAAAAGAAAAATAAGAAGATTTTTGTGATATGAACTTTGCCTGAAAGAAATGATTTTTTTGTCGACCAATTTTTGCGCGTTTCAGTCTTTACCATATCTGATTCAACCCATACCAGGGAAAGTTTTCACTTCACATCTCCTAGGAAAAAGTTTGTATTGTCAATAAATCAATCAATTACGACACCACAAATATTATACGACCGAGAGATACTACGCCTTATCAACATTACTAGTGATGATGATCTCATATCATGGCCGATTGGAATGGTAATGTACTATTGGAATAGAAAAAGACACCTCGTATGAGCGTTTATTTAGATACTTACTAAATGAAAACATTTGGTGATCGCACATCTTCTCCAGCGATTACTAAAAATAGAATTTAGATTTTTTTTTTCGTGCTCAACAGTCTCTCATTTCGTTCCGATTCCGATGCCGCTACAAAATAATCAATTCCTCGAAGAATAACACACGCGCGAGAAAGTTGCACATCATGAAAATACAAGTTCACTCTGGATTGCAAAATTTATTTATCAGTCAGTCGCGCGCTGCCCAGCTAATTCTGGCCATGATAGCGCTATAATTGACTGAGATTGAATTTTACTCTCGTCGACTGCCCGGTGTAGCATCAGTACACTTTTGGCATTCAGTTAGCCATCAAGTGCGGCGAGTGATAGAGCAAAGTAACCGAAGATGTGGTGGACAGTGGTTGGAGTTTTGGGTGGCATCCTCGGTGCCATCTATTTGTTCCTTGCGTGGAACTTTAACCGCTGGAATAACGCTGACGTAAAAGGACCCAAACCGAGATTATTGTTTGGTAACCTTCCCAGTGTTTTAACTAAAAAAAGACACGTTTACTACGAGTATCAGAAGATGTACAAGTGAGTGATTACTTTTACGAGAGTTGATCCAAACCCAACTAACCATAGGCACGTTATTTTGGCTAAATACGGGCCTCATCGAAACTTGCAAACAGTGGTATAGCCGTTGTTCAGCCACGAAATAACGTGCCTATGGTTACTTGGGATTCTACATACTTAATGATATGATAAAAGTGAAGGAAAAGTAAATGTGGCTTTAACTGAACTTGGATTTGATCATCATTGTTATTGTTTTGATATGGTTCTATAATATGTCAGACAAAACGGGCCAAATGGTCTCAGAATGTTACTAAATTTTGGCAGCACGTTGAGTTCATGGTTATACAAACGGAATAAAAAATTAAGGTTGATAATTTTTTCCGGAAAATTGTAAACGAAGTTTTTGGATTTTCCCGGAATAAGTTCAAAAATTTTACTAAAAGTTAATGGTCTACGATTTTGGTCAATTTTGAAGTGACCATTGTGACCATTTCTGAAAAGTTGGCATTCTTGGTTTGATAGCTTATAAACATAAGTATATGCATCTAAAAAATTAACTTTTTTTGTTATTGTAGTTTTAAGCGGTTCATTTCATTTATAGCTAGAAATTTGTGATTTTTTTTCAATGAGTATTTTTTTTCTAAAAAAGCAATCCAGTTTCTTACAACTTTGTCTCAGACGTCATTTCGATAAGAGGATCCGTTTTCGTTGTATGATTGGAAAAATATCGAATGCACCATTTTGAAAAAAAAAATAGGAGGTAGTCAAATCCAGCAAAACTTGATTCAATGCCCCTAGCGAACAATGATGCGAAGTTTAATTCTGAGAAGTAAAATCAAAAAAAAAATTTTTTTTGCTTTTTGGCCTGAAACTGGAGGTTTCAAAACCGGCATTACCGGCCCTAAACCCATTATTGAAATACTGGGTTTACCTACCGTCATAAAAGTCACAAGCTTTAAGAAAAGTCACAAATTTTAAACTGAAAATCATCTTTCCGTACGCAACTTTCATCTGGACCCGCTGATCGACTTAACCCACTGATCTTTACCCAAATGGGCTATATTGCGGTTAAATCCGAATGGGACTGCAGTTGTTTCAACAACCGAATTCGACCCCACAGGACCGCACGAAAAAAGTATTTAAGGTTTGATTTTAAAATGATTAATTCTAAATAAATAAAAATTTATGTTAAATTAACGTATGTACTTTGGCTTAACGTTTTATACTTTCAATAGTTTAACATTTGACATGTGTTTTATATGAAACTATAGAATTTTAATTCATGGCTTTATTTTAACGTTTTCCGTTTGCCATTTCACTTAAAATTTAAAATTAATATTTCAACATTTAACATTTAACAAGACAAATGATATATTTAACATTTTTACTTACTAACTTAAGGGTCCATGCAAAGGGCCAACGTGAAAAACTTCCATTCTGGGCGGCTGCTCGCTTTTGCCTTGACCTGGGCAAAGGTCAGATTCCTATCGACTTGCTTTATTTCCTTGTTGAGGCTCCGCTGCCATGAGCCCCTGCCTCTGCTGCAATGTCCTACCGGATTCCAATCCAGCGCTTGCTTGCAGATTTCGTTTCCGCCTCGTCGAAGTGTGTGGTCGACCCACCTCCGCTTTCGGTCTAGACTTTCTGTTGCTATCGGCTTCTGATGACATCGACGATAAAGTTCGGCATTCGAGATCCAGTTGTGAGGCCACCAGGCACGAATTATATACCGCACCACGTCTCGCTGGCGTATAAAAACAAAGATTTCACGTTCGAGTTGAAAATTCGTATTTTGGTGCATTGACTTTTCTGTTTTGATCTTCATACGTTTTGTAAACTCGCAAAGGCAGCCTTCTTGATTCGTGCACCTATGTCGCTCTTGGTCCCGCCGTCCGACGCTTTTTGGCTTGCCCATCTACCGTAAAGTTGGAAGGGTTGCCCGTTGATGATGAGACCCGGCGCAGAGAAGCGTTCGGCTAGGTCATTGAGCTTACTCTGCATATCAGAACGCCGTTGTGCTAGTAGAGCAACATTATCAGCCAAATAGAAGTCGTTGAGATGCTCCATGGTGATAGGCTGCCAAAGCAGTCCACGGTTTGGGACTCCCTTGCGTCGCAGGGTGCCCCACAGATTCTCGTTATTGAGTCGGCCGAAAGCTTTTTCGTAGTCAATTATTACCAAATAAAGGGACTCTTGGAATTCATGACCTGCTCCAGGATGATGCGTAGCGTGATAATATGGTCCACACAAGATCTTCCGGTACGGAATCCTGCCTGCTGCCGCCATAGAGCCCCGTCGATCTTCTCCTGTATCCAATTCAGGATAACTTTGCACAGAACTTTAAGAACAATACACAGTAACATAATGCCTCGCCAATTGTCGCAGACAGTCAGTTCCTCCTTCTTCCGAACCTTCACTGAGACGCCCTGCACCCAGTCGGCCGGAAAAGTCGCGGTGTCCCAGATATTATAGAATAGTTGATGCAACATTTGAGCGGATAGCATGGGGTCAGCATCTCTGCTGATATGCGATCATCCCCTGGAGCGTTGTTAGATGTCATGATTCGGATAACTGATTCAATCTCCTGCAGTGATGGGACCTCGGAATTGACGCAACCTAGGCGGACCATGCCGAGATATTGATGGCTGGTTAGCTGTCGAAACTTGAAGAAGTTGTTCGAAGTGCTCAAACCAGCGTTTCAGCTCGTCAGTGGGGTCGGTAAGCAACTGTCCAGTCGTGTCCATCACTGGCATCCTTGGGTTCATACTTGCTCCACTCAAGCGTCGTGAGATATCGTAGAGGAGGCGTATATTGTCAGTGTTTGCGGCTTTCTCCCCTTCGTCAGTCAGGGAGTTCACCCATGCTCGCTTGTCCCGTCTGCAAGAGCGCTTGACTTCCTTTTGTAGAGCCGAGTACCGTTGACGGGCTTCGTTCTTGGCTTCTCTGGCTCTCGCCCGCTCTATCGCGGCTTTTGCTTCTCTACGCTCCTCAATCTTTCGCCAGGTTGCTCTCGCTTGTTTCTATAAAGGCATTCTTGATGGCCGTGCATTGTTCTTCTACGCTGCCACCTTCTGGAACGTCCGCAGCTCGAGTCTCAAGTTCTTCAACGAAAGAGCTTTTTACCGCTGGATCTTCAAATCGGTGTGTGTTGAACCGCCGCCGATTCTCTCCTCCCGTCGCTGGATCCACGCCATGCGTAGGCGGATCTCACCGATTAGAAGGCGATGGTCAGACGCGATGCCAGCGCTGCGTTTATTCCGGACATCAAGAAGGCTCCGTCTCCATTTTCGGTTGATGCATGGTCGATCTGATTTTCGGTATGTCCATCACGGGAAACCCACGTGACTTTGTACACTGACCGATTGAGGGAAGAGTGAACCCCCGGTCACCATATAGTTATTGCCACAAAATTCTGCAAACAGTTCACCGTATTCGCTCATTTCGCCGAGACCATGAAGTCCCATGACACGCTCACAGTGCGTGTTATCGGAGCCGATATTTGCATTGAAGTCGCCAGTGTAGATCTTGATGTCACCCTTTGGAACCTTATCAACGACGGCATTCAGTTGACTGTAAAAATTCTCCTTGCCCTGTAGCTCTACATCATTTGAAACTTGTTTTTGAATTTTTTAGTGCACATCAATTCGACAGCTGTGTTACTGACTCTTCTTCTTATGTTTTATTTCGCTAAATGTGCAGTTTTCTGCGGACCAGCAATAGTACAGGTCACATTAGTAACATGTACTTTGACACAAACACCTCGAGTAGCGAAACAACATGTCCACATGGTTCTGTTCTCTCGTACTTTTGCTCTTTCAAAATTTCATACTTGCTCTATCTAGAGTACATCTCCAACCTTACTTTACGTTCATATTCCTAACAATTTGAATTAATTAGTTGCCGACCAGTACCGATTTAAATCGCTTTACATTAGATCATACGGCAATCAGAAACGTATTTCATTTAGTGGAATTAAACCAATTGCATTTAGTTTTATTGTGGCAAAGGGCAGCTGGGAAAGTATTTGTTATTTGTATTTATTGCACTTAAACCTGTTCGTTCGTCTTTAGTAAATTCAGAACGAGCATTCTCACTTCATTATTAATTATTCTAAATTATAGTTCAATGATGTTTCTATAATTCTTTAATCAAATCTGTAATAATGGCGACTATTCAAGAGTATCAAAAAAATCGACTAAGGGAAATGCCGGCTTCGACAACATCTTTTATCGTTTGGGGGTAAACAAAGTCCATAAGCAGAGGTAAAGGTACATATTGCTAAAGCCGTCAGTCACTTAACACATACCTATATAAAAAATAAAGAGAAATTTTGAAATCTACATTCAACTGATTCGTTTACATCAAAGACAACAACAAAAAGTTCATTACAACCTAAGGAGTGTGGATTCGGGCGATTTTGATTATCATGCCAAATTGCATGAATATTAAAATATTCATGATATTTGTCTTCCCCTCCAAACGCTGTCATATTGAATTTTGTCACTATCGAAGCAAACGGTGGACACTATAGTCGCTATATTCATAGTCTGGCGGATAGGATCTCGGGAACCAATTGAGCTGTCAAAGAGCGGAACCAATCGAGCAAATCACGACCAACAATAGAAACGAGCACATCCGCTATTGCGAACAGAACTTCGGAAACCGTTTTCTCGTGATTCAAGTCTCACCAACGCAAACTAACACTATCTTTGGATTGGGGAAAGATTCCCCTATCCGATGATGCCGATAATTTGCGTTCGATTGTCGAGGAAAGAAGCCGATTTTGTTTATAAAAGTTGATAGGACCTTTTCAATTGTTGGAGCTTTCGAACTCGGAGAGTTGATTTATTTTGAAGTCAATTTCTGCCGTGGTGGGATGAAAATATAATCCATATTCATTGTAGATGGGTTCAGTTCGCTAACAATTTCATCTGCTGTAGCCGGTTTATCTCTTATGATTTCGTTGATTTCACCGTATTTCTTATCCACGGCGCACTAAACTTTCCGTGCATTTGTTGAATTTCGGACATGATCTGCAAATCCTCGTTGTCGTCTTCATTGCATTGTTAATTCGCGAAATACGACGGAAGAATTTTCTTCTAGCAGTTTACCAACGTGCTTTGTTTTATGTCCTTTAGAACCACATCCAAGCAGTCGAAACAATTCTTGATACTGAACTACTTTCATGTATCCGCTAGTGAAAGGCCTTCATTCTCGGCTGTTTCCAGAATAAAACAGTAACTTCTCTTGACATACTTCTGCTTGAAATTGTTGATGAAGCTAATGTTCTTGGCTGCGCAAAAATCCTCCAACTGTGGTGAGAAGCAGTCGTTTATACAGTCCTCAAATAATTCTCGGGTCATCCAACCTTTCTTGTTGCCACGATAATGCCCAGGGAGATTTACTTCCTGTAAATTTCGCTTTAGAGAAAAACATGATTGAGAACCCTTGTTTGTCCCCTTTCGGTCCCGGCATTGTTTTCAGGTGCTCTGAGACATAAGATCTTTGAAGCGTTTTTTTTTTTTCTAAAACAGTTTTGTTTCATCACAAATGAACACTTGTTTAAGGCAATACTGAACACTTTAAATTTCTTTTTTACCCAACGATCAAATGGCATCCATTTCTGGTCTTTACGTGTCGTTCCCTCTCCGGAAATACCCATATTGTAGAGTATTTGACAGTTTTCTTGACCTGGTGGTCACCATCTTGGATTCCAAAATGCCGTCTGGCAATGATTTCTGGCCTCTACACGTTATCCCCTATCCAGAAATACCCATATTGTAGGGTATTTAACAGTTTTTCTTGAACCTATGGCCGCCATCTTGATTCCAAAATGACGTCTGGTATCCTTTTCCGGCCTCTACACGTCATCCCCTTTTCGGAAATACCCATATTGTAGGGTATTTGACAGTTTTTCTTGAACCGATGGCTGCCATCTTGGATTCCAAAATGACGTCTGGCATCGATTTCCGGCCTCTATACGTCATACCCTTTCCAAAAATACCCATATTGTAGCGTATTTGACATTTTTTCTTGAACAGATGGCTGCCATGTTGGATTTCAAAATGGCGTCTGGCATCAATTTCCAGCCTCTACACGTCGTTCACTTTCCGAAAACCATATTGAAGGGTATTTGACAGTTTTTTTGAACCGATGACCACCATCTTGGATTTTAAAATGGCGTCCGAAATCGATTTACAGCCTCTCTACACGTCATCCTTCTTACGTTTCGTGTCCTCACATTGCACAGCAACATCTTATATGGACAAGCTTTCCAGACATAATATATAAAGGAAGTTCATGTGCACACTAGCGCTGCGTAGTGAGAGAGTTCTTAAATAATATGACCACTATCCGAAAGGACTTGGTCACCTGACCAACTTTCCTTGCCTTCTATATGGCAAGAATTTTGAGATACAGCTTATATAGCAAGCTCATATGCACACTAGCGCTGCGAAGTGAGAGAGTTTTGAACGAATATGGCCACCATCCGAAAGGACTTGGTCACTTGAACAACTTTGCTGAAGACAGTAACTTTCTATATGGCCAGTATCACGAAATATTCTATGTTGGACCTACACGCAAACCAAAAATCTATTACAATGAATGTTAGTTCCATTTCCTATCATCCTCTGTATATGAACATCGCAGCGAATGTTAGAAGTTGACCTTGCAGGCGATGTAATGGTTTTTTGCCTTTTTTATTTCGTGTTCTGTCTGTGCTTTCACCTACACAAGCAAGCATTTGCCTTAATTTTTATGTATAACATGGTAGAACCATAGAGGTAACTCTAAGACCACTGGGTCCCGAAGAAAGTCATTATTATTTTTGGCTCACTCAGTACCAGAACAACGGTCCCAAGCAGTCCCAAGCTATTTCATCACCCCTGCATGTTCTGCATGAATCCACACACCCCTGATGTTATCTGTCAAACTTTCATAGCGAATCAAAACAAAAATTGTGTAGTAATAGAATTTCAACTAGAATAGGGTACGTCAATCGTTTGCTTGGGACCAATAGGCTACTAAAGTGGTGAGCCAATTTAAAATCGTTAGTTTCGTATTGATTGTTGGTAGAACGACGCACACACTTGCCTCGAATCTCTCCAGCAGAAAAAGCATGCGAAGTCGAGTGTGAGAGGAAATGAGCACTTCTTGTTTGCTTTTAGGCTATCCTTATTCAGAGGCATGGAGAGAGCAGTGGAGAAAGCACAGGTCTGATAACCGCAACTTTCGTTGTTCGAGTCCAGTCGGCAACCTTTTTCCTATTTTTTTTTTCGACATAATTAATTTACCTCACTAATACACTCTACATTTTTCGGTCTTCAATTTTCTTGCATTGGACCGCAGCTAGGTATATCGCATCCTCGGTTCATGTGGTCTCCACTGATGATGAATCCCACATAATTGTAAGCGAATCTTACATCCACCGGTTGGGTGTATGATCTATATATTATAGCATCCGTCACAAGTAAGATAAAAGTGAAGCGCCTCTAGCGGCGTAGTTCCCAATTAAACCTGAATCCAATGGCACAGGCTTATTGATCTATCCCAGTACAACAACTTTGTCGAAGACAGTATAGCTCTATACATAGAAACATATGAGATAATCCACCACAGCTCCTATTAGTGAAAATCCCATAAGCTTTGGGTATCCTTATTCGCGGTTCCTTATTCACACCCCTGTTACCCCGGCAATAAGGATTCCTGACTGTACTATGGGCATTCCGAACAACAGCTCCTACGTCCTAGGACGGGACTTGACAATCGGGTAGCGATATTGAGCCAATTTTTTGTCAAATCAGAGCCAGTTGTTGGTTGGTCGATTTGACAGTAGCAATCGGGGAATAAAAAGAACACAGGAATCACAGTAATATTACTGGAAGTGATGCCAGAATAATTGTTGACGTCAATGGCTTAACGGATATTCATTCATTTTTATTCACAGCGATTTCAATACTGAACCCGTCGTGGGATACATTAGTGTTCGAACACCCCAGTTGATGATTCGTGATCCAGAGCTAATCAAAGAGGTCCTTTCGAAGGGATTCCGGCACTTTGCAGCGAACGACTTCTCGGACGTAGTAGATGAGAAGTCGGATCCACTTTTTGCCCGAAACCCGTTCAGTTTGTCAGGCGAAAAATGGAAAACTCGTCGAGCGGAGATCACACCCGCTTTCACTAACAACAGAGTAATTATAAGATGTATGATGAGGCTCTTAATAAGCCTATGCTAACCAGCGCTATTAATTACAGATAAAGGCGTTGTCGGTTCTCATGGATGAAGTATGTGTGAAAATGACTGAATATGTCAATAATAAAATAGAGCACGATGAAAGCAGTCTTGACACGAAGGAGGTAAAAATCTCAATTAAAAACGATATAAAGCATCATGGAAACTAATGACAAATCTTTGCAACTATTTTCCTCCACTAGCTCATGGCCAAATATACCACAGATGTCGTTTCGAATTGCGTATTTGCCATCGACGCTCAATCATTCTCAAAAGATAACCCGGAAATTCGAGAGATGGGTCGACGGATAATGGACTTCAACTTCTCCGCCCAGCTTATTCTACTGATTACTACCTTCCTGCCTTCCGTTAAGAACTTTTATAAATTTACGTTCATTCCCCGGGAGGTTGAAGAATTCTTCATTCGCATCATGAAAGATGCCATCCATCACCGTAAAAAAAATAACATCGTACGAAATGACTATCTGGATCATCTACTTTCACTGCAAGAGAAGAAGCAAATTTCCGAAATCGATATGGCAGGTCACGGTGTATCGTTCTTTGCTGATGGATTCGAAACATCAAGTTTGATTATGACCTACTGTCTCTATAACTTGGCATCTCACCCAGAAATACAGAAGAGACTGAGAGAGGAAATTCGGAACGTACAAGCTAGCAAAGGAGGCATCACTTACGATAACATTGGAGAAATGACCTTCCTCGATCAGGTCCTCAACGAAACACTGCGACTGCATCCAGTCATTCCAGTACTGGCGAAACGATGCACTGAGGACACAGTTCTAGTTGGACCGAAGGATAAGAAAATTTCTGTTTCTGCAGGAACCACAGTTGTTATTCCATACGCTGTTCAGCTAGATCCACAATACTACGAACAACCAGACAAGTACAACCCGGACAGGTTCTCACCAGAAAACGGTGGATCCAAACCGTACAGAGAACGAGGTGTATACTTCCCTTTCGGTGAAGGTCCCAGAATGTGTCTAGGAATGCGATTTGCCGTTGCCCAAGTGAAAAGGGGAATTGTAGAGATTTTGGACAAATTTGAAATATCGGTAGATTCAAAAACACAGGTTCCGCTGAAATATGATCCTAATTTGTTTATGTTGTATCCAGTGGGTGGCATCTGGTTGAAGTACAAACCAACTAAGTAGAGGGATTCGTTCAAAACTCAATGATATTCGGCACAGTCCACAGGCAATTATCATGCAAACTAATAAACATACATTAAACAAACAGGAAAATGTTGCAGTTCTAGTTGTTTTTATTTTGGACGAAAATTACCCTTTAGACACATTTTGTCACAAGTAACCTGAGCATAAGACCGTGGGTTCTTTTCCAAGCCCCTTTACATTACTGAGTTTATAGGGTGCATCGCTCTTCTTACTAACAAAAAACGTCCTTCCCGTGACAATCGTGGAGCGGTGTTCTCAGTCTCTAGTAGCAACGGGTGTCGAACTATCATTCCTTTTCCTCCCGATGATCGTAAGGATGTGGCCGGTGCCGTTGAAAGTACTGATTCACTGGATCTTGCACACTGAGAATAGAACCCAAGGTTTATTAATTTGGTTCTTTGTGCAAATTTCGCTGGACTTGGTCAACCGCGGAATAGTAACTGAATTGTACGGCCAACCGTGCTCATGCTCACTAGTGATAGAGAGTCACTTTTATTTCCAAAAATACCCCCAATATGTAGCCTTTCTGATAATCTACATGTATGTATCCACCATTTAAGAGGGAGATTTAAATCCCAAAACATGTTTTTCATACGCTGCATAGAGGGAGAGTAGCCAATGCGGTCTATCTGGTCATGCCTCCAGATCCAAATGTACAAGCAAAACAAATTTCAATAGGGTCCCATGAAACTCATTTCAACCCGGTTTTCAAAGATAAATGATTACTGAAAATATGGATTTGAATTCTCTAAGCGGTCTTTCATCTTATTTAGTTTTCGCTACAAAACAATCAAATTCTAAAAGTATAGCACAAGGAGATAGCGCATCATCATTCACTCGAGATTGCATAATTTATTTATCAGTAAGCCACGAGTTTCGCTAACATTAACCATGATAATAATATAATTGACTAAGATTGAATTCTGCTCTCGACAAGTGGCCGTGTTGATTCGGTGGGGCATCAGTAAACTTTTGTCATACGATTAACCATCGAGTGCATCGAGTGGTGAAATAAAATAGCTGATAATGTGGTTGGCAGTGGCTGACATTTTGAGTTGCTTCCTCGGTGTTATCTATTTGTTTCTAACATGAAATTTAAACTGCTGGAATAACTTAAGCCAAGAATATTGTTTGGTAACCTCCCGAGTGTTTTAACCAAAAAAGACATAGTGTTTACGAGTATCAGCAAATGTATAAGTGAGTGATTGCCGTTTTCAAGAGTTGCTCTATGCAATTAAATAAAATGATCTGATGTGAAGCAAAAAGTTGTTGCAAGCAGCTGCCAAGCTTGAACCAAGTCGACGCACACCACTCAACTAGTGGCGCCGCTATCTGCGAAAGACGCGAAAGACGATGGAAGATGACATGAGAAAGCATTTTGCAGACTGCGGAGGGAATAGTGATAACTCGGTAGTTCTCACTTCCCACATACAGCGGGCGAGTCGCCCACGGCTCGCCCCCAGACCGCTCGGCGGACGGGGTGGACTTGGGCGACTCGAACCCCGCGGCACAATGTGGTCCAAATTTGGTCGCCCCCGACGGCGCGTATATTTGCAACATTTGGGCGCCTGAGGCGAAAACGATACCTATCAAAAAACTGATCGTTTCGGCCATTTTGTCCGCCCCATGCGCCCCGGTGCGCTCACGGTGGTTCACCACCATTTTCTTTTTCAATGGGTTTTAATTTAATAAAAATAAAAACAGTGTAAGCACAAACATGACTTCATCAAAAAACTTTATATTTCATTTTCTTATAACTAACAATAATATCTTACAAGCTGTGTCAACCGCATCATGTGACAAATAAAATTACATAAGCATTTAATTACTAGTTCAATGGAACTCAAATTTAGTTCCAAGAACCCCTTCGGCCACATCCGGACGTATTCCGGGTGTCCCGGGGGAAGCCGAATAAAAATTTACATTAGCCCAACATTTGATGTCTACATCAGCATCGAAATAAAACATATTCCTGGCATCAAACATTAGAAAACATTGTGATTTAGATGTATTTATGCAAGGTAACGTGAAATATTATTTTGCTATTCAAATGTTGTTCTGACGTCGAGAATTTTAATCGTTTGTCATCAGAACCAAACGTTTAACGGCGCCGGTGGTGTAGTGGTAAGCGTGATTACCTCTCACCCCAGCAGGCCTGGGTTTAATCCCAGTCGGCGCCGCCGGGATGTTCTGAGGCATAACATCTCTGATCACGTCTTCCTTCGGATGGGAAGTAAAGCCGTTGGTCCCCGGTTCATGAGTTGATGGGTCGATAGGTAGGGTCCAGATGTGGGAGCTGCCTTCCTGGCACGTCGGTAGCATTGGTGCTCAGCACGGAAAATAAGATCGACGGAAAAAAACAAAGAAAAAAATAAAAACTTTAACATAACTTTAACTTAACTTTAACTTAACTTTAACTTACCTTTAACTTAACTTTAACTTAACTTTAACTTAACTTTAACTTAACTTTAACTTAACTTTAACTTAACTTTAACTTAACTTTAACTTAACTTTAACTTAACTTTAACTTAACTTTAACTTAACTTTAACTTAACTTTAACTTAACTTTAACTTAACTTTAACTTAACTCTAGCTTAACTTTAACTTAACTTTAACTTAACTTTAACTTAAGTTTAACTTAACTTTAACTTAACTTTAACTTAACTTTAACTTAACTTTAATTTAACTTTAACTTAACTTTAACTTAAGTTTAACTTAACTTTAACTTAACTTTAACTTAACTTTAACTTAACTTTAACTTAACTTTAACTTAACTCAAACTAAACTTTAACTTAACTTTAACTTAACTTTAACTTAACTTTAACTTAACTTTAGCTTAACTTAAACTTAACTTTTATTTAACTTTAACTTAACTTAAACTTACGTATAGCATAACTTTCACTTAATTTTAAGTTTAAAATAACTTCTTCATAACTTTTTACTTTACTTGAACATAATTTTAGCGAAACTTCAACTTAAATTGAAACAAATTTAAAATGAATTTAATTAATTTTTAGCATAACGTTAACTTAAACAAAACTTTAAATTTAAATTAATTATAACTTAACATTATCATAACTTTAACTTAACTTGACCTTTGACATAAAATTATTTTAAATTTAACTTTAATATAACTTATACATAAATTTGAAAGAACTTCAATTTAACGTAATTTTAACTTACCGTTAACTTAACATTAATTTAAATTTTACTAAACTTTAACTTAACGTTAACTTAACTTCAACATAATTTTAACTTATCTTTAACTTAACTTTATCTTAAACATAGCTTAACTAAACTTTATCGTAACATAAACATAACTGTAACTTACCTTCAACTTAACTTAAACATAACCTAAACTTAACTCTAACTTAACTTTAACGTAGCATTAACTAAATTTTAACTTTTGCGCTAACAAAAGTTTATCTTACCATTAACATAACTTTAACTTTAACATAACATTAACTTTACTCTAACATAATTGTAGCATAAAATTAACATAACTTTAACTTAATTAGCCGAACTTTAACTTAACTTTAATATAATTTTAACTTTAACGTTTATTTAATTTTAATTAAAAGTTAACTTAACTTTACCTTAAACATAAACATCGGGATCCGACATCGGCATGCGGTGCATCAGTTTGAATGCTTAACTCATCCGGATTCCTCCAGCGGATCAATTTTGGAAAATAGTTACATCAAAATTGATCCGATGGAGGAATCCGGATGAGTTAAACATCCTTGTTGATGCGTTGCATCAGTAGGGATGCTCAAACCCACCGAATTCCTCCAGTGGATCAATTTGAAAAATAGTTACACTTAATAACAAACCTTAATAACGTAATTAGTGGAAGCAGCCGGCTGAAAACAAGTGTTTTAAAAAATCATCAAAATTTTGGATCGGTCTGTTAGAATTTGTAGTTACTTTCCAAAATTGATCCGCTGGAGGAATCCGGCTGAGTTATGCATCCTAACTAATGCAACGCATCAATAAGGATGCTCAACTCAGCCGGATTCCTCCAGCGAATCAATTTTCAAAAAATAATTACACTTAATAAAAAACTGTTCAGTACTAACCATCAACTTTGCTTGAAGATGGCCATCGGAGGCCAATTTTACGACGCGGATAGTAGAAAAAAAACGTGTCTATACACGCACGACATGAAAAAACGACTGACCACGTAATCAGTTGCCGCGAAAAAAAAATCACAAAAAAATTGCTAAGTTCCATCCGCCATTTGGTCGCCCGGCGGATAAAATTACTCAAGCGGGGCGGTCCGCCTTTCGTCCGGATCCCGGAGCGCCATTTGGTAGCCCGGCGCATGAAATTACTCTAGCTGGCGATCAGTCTTCAAGGCGCCCAATGTCAAATGACGTCACTTTATCGCCGGCAATTCGTGTTGGTTTCCATATATTAGATACTTCCTCTTTCTTGTTCCTGAATATCAGACAGTGTAGACAAACAAGTAGACAACTGACCCTGACAATTTAAATAAAATGCCCTGATGATCTTTAGCTGATCACTATCATCCATGACTTCCCTTATTGTGGTATTTGGCATGTCGATGAAGCCAGTCCTCCTAAATACTGTCTTGGTCAGCAAATATAGAGTCAACTCTCCATTTGTCGATATCAAAGGGATCATTCCCAGGAATTCTCCTCAGCAGCCCCTTTCCGAATCAATCAGTCGGTGTTTAAAAGTTGACTTTAGGTTGCACGGTCAACTAGACAAAGGCTTAATTCAAATTGTGACTTGGGTTTAAAACTTGGATTGCCGCCAAAAAAAAGTGCCAAAAAAAGTCATCTTCAAATTCCATGGAAATTTTTACCTCATTTAGAGCTATTATTAGTATTTTCTAGGAGTTGTGGTCAGAATTCGCTAGGAATTGTCATTAAAATATCTATGGAGTTTTCAGAATTTTATTTGATTTCTCCTCCGAATTTCCATTGGATTTTTCCTTTAAATTCTGTTAAGGTTTTCTGCCCAATACTCATGAAATTCTATTCAGAATTACTACATAGCTCTTTTGATAACTTCCAATGCATTCTCAATAGTACTGACCTC